AAGATCACGGCAACGGTAGCGAACCACTGGCGCATGTATATCGATGTCAATGTATAAATATTGTTGGAATTATTCAGTAGAATAGAGGGGTTGGACTTAAGTGACATGTGTAAGAAGACGTTTTACGATGCAGCAGTCTGTGTTTCGTCCTCTAGCTGCAAGCAAACCGAACTAGGCATGACGCTGACCAGGCCGAACTATGAAAAATTCCCGAGCAAACTTCGATAGCGGTAAAAGTCTCGAATCCCATATACCTTTCCCCTTTCACTGGACTTGTTAATTCTTTAACGAACAAAAATTTCTGCATGTTGCGCAAATTTTTTCATCCCAATGATTAAAACTTACCACAGCATGTATTTCAGAAAGTGCTTTCAAATACCGGGCACCACGTTTGGTCTGCGCTATCTCGGCAACTGTTGTTGAAGCGGCTGTCGCAGGAAGCAGTAAATCGGCATCATGCAATAATTTATGCGCCTCCTCGATGCAACGCTGCCATACACGAAGGCACTCCTCATCCTCAAAAATGTAAAGGGAATCGGAAAGAAAGATTAAGGATCAAAAAAAAAAAAAAAAAGAAAGAAACTCCGGGGTGAAACGGCTAAAAAACTAACAGACCAGAACTTACTTCACGATTGTTTTCTAAATTCGATATTGATTTCATTGCAGCATAAACATCCGCACCTAAAAAACAAATCTTATCTACTGGGATAATATTTTTTGGTAGAAAATGATGATCGCTTATTTATTTTCTGGAAGAAATTTATGCAAAAAATGACGCAAAAAGCTTAACATTTTATCAAAACAACATTGCATAGAATATCATTTACCTCCAGTTTTATTATGCATTTTTCATAATTATAATAAGTTATCACACTTTTTTTCATTACACATTTTATTTTTCACATAAATTCTTAAATTCTACTAATCCTTCCATACTTTTCCCACCTATTACCCTTCTTCTGAAAAATATCCAGAAAATCTCAAAGATTATTATGTAAAATATAAGTGGAAGTAGGTATGGTACTTTACCACGGTTGAGGATCGGCAATGCAAAGATCCACAGCAAACACCAAGAACATCTCGAAATGCCTCAAGTCTTACACAGTGATTTTGAGTTGAAAATCCTATAGAAAAAAAAAAAAAAAAAATGCCAAGATCCTTAATAAGCTAACAGAACAAAGCGACTGGAAAAGCTGATAGCTGAACAGTTGGAGAACTAAACTATGAATTATATCTAATGCAAGTTTTCTAAATGTTTAAAAAAAAAAGTAAACATTGGATTAAATGCGCAACATATAGCATTCAACTACTGCAAAAGTAAACAAATATACCAGGAAACGCTTACCATGCTATGTCAGAACGAAAAAAAACTGTACATTTAAGCAAATGTGACGAAAGCGTTACTGGAAGCTGAAACAGAACACACACACAAACGCATATGCACACACGCGCACACACTCACATACATGCGTACATACAAACATACACATTATACACGCACACACACATACACACACAAATACATACATACATGCGTACATACATACACATTATATACGCACACAAATACAGACACATGCAGACACATACATATGTACGTACAAACATACATACACACATACATACATACACATTATATACGCATGTATTTACGCACACAAATACACACACGCACACGAACACACACACACACGTGTGCACGCACACACGCAAATACGCAACCAATATGTATACAATCTCTCGTCAATATGCGTTTTCCGCATTGCATCTAATATGCAAAAACGATAATGAAAAAACAAGTCTGACTTCGAGTCATCTGATGTGTTTACTTATGAAAAATCTTAGGATTCAACAGTGAAACATGGTAATTTCAGCTGAAAAATACCTGTTTTTGTTGGTTCATATGAACTGTTGTTGGCTTTTAAGGTACCACTTTCGCTGCTGCTGTTGCTCAGTGCGGGATTTGTGTATGAAGCTGGAAGCTGTACTGCTAGTGGGACTTCCGCTGGGTGAGCAAAACTCGTCGTTGATGTGCTTGCTGGCACCGAAAAATTGATATCCGAGAGCAGCGATAGTGAATTTGACGTGGCTACG